CGCCGCCTCCCGCGCGGCCCCCACACCCTGCCCGGGTGCGCGCAGGGAGAAAATACAAGTCTCTCCTCCCCCCATTTTTTTCCTTTCTCTTTTCTCGCTCTTTTGTTCCTCTTTCGCACTCGCACTCACTACTTCGGGGGAGATGCCCGGGGGCCCTGCAGCCCTTCCCGGGCCCGTCGCCCACTTTCCCTCCCGGGACGAAGTTTGCGGCTGTTTCCCAGAGGCGCGGGAAGTGGGGGAGAAGCCCCTGCGCCTGCTCCCCGCTCCGCTCCTCCGGCCGGGCAGGGTGCGCCTCCTTCCCCCGCAGGGCTCTGCAACTTTCATCCCCGGCCGGAAAAAACAGCCCCGCGCGGCTCGGGCCCAGACCCGGCTCCGGCTCCGGCGGAGATCGGCGCCCGATCGCCCGCTCCTTACCCCCCAATTTTCTCGCTCGCTTTTTCTCCGTCTCACGAGTAGTCCTGACAAATGGTCCAGGGCTGCGGGCGCAGTGCGCATGTGCGCGTGGAGCCAGGCTGGGGAGAGGGGAACTGCGCTGCCGCCGGAGCCGCCGCCGCCGCCGCCGCCGCGGCCGGGAGCTCGCGCTCGCTCCTGCGGCTGCCGCCGCCGCTGCTCCCTCGCCGCCGGGAGCCGCGGGGCCGGCGCTCGGCCGAGGAGCCGCCCGCGGGACCGGTTCAGGTGCATCTGGGCGCGATCGCGGCCCCGGCTCACCGCGGCGGCCGGAGCACATGGGAGAGGCGGCTGGGCTGTGGATCTATTTGTCTATTTTTCACTTTACTTTTTTTTTTAGGCGAGCCTGAGAGCTGCTCAGCCACCGTGTGCAGAGAAATGCACGCGTTCAGCCATTCGGCTTTGGGCCCGAGCCTTCCCGATCGCTGCTGCTGGAAGGCGAAATCCGTGCCACAGGTCAGGAAAAATGAGAAATAAAGTTTTAAGCTTCTGACGGAGTAGCGGTCTCCCCCTCCTTCGGGACTGCAGGAATGCAGCGGAAACAGTGCCTGCAAACTTGCACCTCCCGGCGCTGCCCAAGCGGGTCGGCGTGGACAGCGGCCAGGGAGGGCTAGGCCTCTGGAGACCCGCCGCATCCCTACCCCAACTCAGAGCGCTGTTGAAGTACCTTGGGATGGCAGGCCGGGGCTGCCCTCATACAGACTTCAGTCAAGATGGCTGAGCTGTCCAAATTGCAAAACCTGCCTTTGTCAACGCGTCCCAGGGACTGGAGATCGGGACAACATCACAGGGTGTGGTGTGCACGCCTGTGATCCCAGCATTTAGGAGGCTGAGGCAGGAGGATCGCCCTTCAGTTCAAGCCCAGACTGGGCTACATAATAGTGAGTTCAAGGCCAGCCTGGGCTACATCGGATAACTGTCTCAAACAAAACAAAACAAAACAAAACAAACACGAAAACAAAAAAACAAGAAACGTATTTTAGATTGACAGCTGTCCCTTTATTGATAACCAGCTGTCTTGGGGCCGTTCACTATTCTCTACTAGACAGGTGATGAGTGCAGACAAAATAATCCAGGTAATTACAATTGTGCTAAGCATTTTGATGTCAATAGCAGAGTTCACCATGCAAAAAAAAAGTAGCGTGTGTGAGCTCAGGATTAGTGAACCAAGTCGTATTTTTCAGGGATGAGGAGGTAGAGAGAGGCCTCGCCCCCGCCCCCAGCAGACTGTTTGTTTTGTATCTAATAAAGGGTGAAGGAAGCCCTTTTCTGAAACTGCTGCCTAAGGCCTAGAATTTAAATATATCACAGGTGGAAATGCTGTATTAAAAATCCTCCTCCCCAAAATGTAATATTATTCTTGATTGAAGTTTTTCATTTAAAGACTGTTCCGTGAACCCGTTTAGAAAGTCAACTGCCGAATGCTTCCTTCGGACCGTGAAATTCTCCTAGAGAAGCAGGTCGCCTGACTATGTCTTCTGTGGGTAGGTGACCAGATTCTCCAAACCAGAAATCGCGGCGTGTGGCTTGCCGTGTGCTCCGGAAGTGACCTGCAGACCTTTCGAAGCTGAAAGGGGCCTAAAAGACGCTCGCGTGTCGGCAGCAGTGGCCTGGGGTGTGAACTAGCGAAGGCTGGGCGCGAGAGAGCAACCGAGTCTCAAACCGCTAGCTGGCCCGGGTTTCACTCACCTCATCCCACCTGCTCCTTGCGGGAAGGAAAGGCCGGGAGTTACGTGTCAAACTGAGACCTTGCCCCAAAAGAAACTGAGTTAATTTTAGAATCCACGCCGCCCCAGCGTCTCTGCCCCGTCCGGACGTGGCGGTCGTGCGCGAGCTTTCAGAGAAGTCTGTTCAAGCGGCCTGACGAATGCGGATGGACAGCCTGCCTTATTCCAGCACCTTACGGGCTGGCGGTGAGCAGACATGGAAACTGGACAGCCCTGTGCTCAGGGGTTGCGCCCGGGAAATCGGGTCTTATGTCGCAGTGTGCTAAGTGTGATAGAAGGGGTGTGTAAAACAAGTGCAGTTGGACTTGTGCAATTGGGCAAGTACAAGGGGCGCTTGTGGCAGCAAGGAAAGGCTGATCTTGAACTCACTGTGTAACCCAGGCTAGGCTTGAATTTGCAGTGATCCTTCTGCCTCAGCCTCCTATGCTGGGATTATAGGCCTGCACCACCATGCCAAGCTCTTTACTTTTTGAGACAGGATCTCACTAAGTTTCCCAGGGTGGGTTCAAACTTGAGACCCTCCTGCCTCAGCTTCCCAGAGTACTGGGATAACAGGTGTGCCCACCTGGAGGGCTAAACTGATTCTTAAAGTGCAGGCCTCCAGGGTGTGTAATGCCTCACTTATTCTCAGCAGGTGTCTGGGAAGGTGAGCAAATCCGGAAATGCCTGATAAAGCCCCACACATTCAGACAGCAAGGTGTGCCCGGAAACTGCAGGGCCTGGGATTGGGATTCCCTAACAGAAACAAGAATGAGAAGGTGAAGGCCATCTCCAGGACATTGTCTTTCTCCTCCTGAGACCAGTACTAACAATCCCACCCAGGTTGTTCTTAAGGTGTGGCTCACGGAGGTAAACATCTGCAAGTACTCGCCTGCAAGAATAACGACTTGAAGGCTGCTAGCAACTTGGCAACTTCTTGCTTTATTTTTTGTTTTTTAAGAATCCTTTTTGTTACCACCTGAGACAGAATCAGATCCTTGGACTCTAGGTCACAGTGTTTCATCCTCCCCATGTCAATGGGTGTGTGTCACGCACCTCTGGCCATCTGGCCCACACGTGGAAATACACCAGTGGGGGCTTCCTTGCCACATGAGCCTCGCCATCCAGTCCCTGGTTAAAACTTTATGTGAACGCCTTCGCTCAAGCGCTGCTTAATCCCCTCATTCTCTGCCCTTCTCCTCCCGTCCCACTGTACTTCTCATACAAGTGCATCCATCCCGGACCTGTCCTTCAGACCCAGTGATCTAACTTCCCCAACACCCCAAACTAAAGTATTAGTTCACATCTTTGTTTTGCTTTGGATGTATTTATTTATACCCAAACTTCCATTCACCCCAAAGTGATTACAGGCTACGTGGTTCCTAAATATACTGAAGCCAAGGTTATTTTACATGGAAGGTGTTTTAAACTGTCGGGAGTAATGGTGCATGCATGTAATCCCAGCACTCATGAGGCTGAGGCAGGAGGATTGCTGCGAGTTCCAGGCCAGTCTAACCCTGTCTCAAAAAACAAACAAAAATAATAATAATAAAATTAAAAATTTTAAAAAACAGGTCACTGCACTCATTATTCAGAGACGGTTTTGGTTTTTTGAGAGTCTCACTATGTAATTCAGGCTGGCTTTGAACTCACTGTATAGCCCAGGCTGGTCTGGACCTCGAAGGAGTCTTCCTGCCTCAGCCTCCTAGAGTGCTGGAATTACAGGCATGCACCACCATGCCCTGCTGTTCAGAGATGTTTTATGGCTTCTTCTCACCTCCCCAGATAGTGGCCATTTGAAAGCTCTCACTGGCTGCATCCTGTAAGGCCTATGCTTCATAAACCTCAGTTTAGAAAGCTGACCTCCCTGTTCCTAACACTGAGCCTGTTTTGCATGGATTGGACACTTTCCTCCTGCATGGGACAAAGTCCGGGCTTCCCCTGCCATAGCCAGTTCCCCCTAAACTGAAGTGCCCTAGAGTGAGGTCCAAATGGGTTCTGTTCTAATTCAGTTCTGCCACCATGCCTGGGGGCCATTTAGCAAGTCTTATCACATTTTCTTAAATTCCCTGCCTTGTTTGAGCAAGAGTGCATAGTAATCAGATTCTAAGGTCTGTGAAAGGCTTGCTCCTTCACATCCCTCCTGTGTGACATTTTAGTATGGATAATATAGGACAAAGAAAGGAACTTTCCGTGTGGAGTGAAGCTTCATCCATCTGCTCGGAATCAGAGTATTATCAGTGGCAGGTGCACCCCTGGCCTGAGCCAATGCCCAGGACATGAAGGCCAAGGGTTCTGGCCCTGGTGACCAGTCGGTTTGGCTCTGTTTCGTAGACAGGCGCTGCTTTCATAACCCCGGACACCAAGTCGCAGTGTGTGCCATTGGTCACAAATTTTATGATAAAATCACATCTTTCCAGAGACATTTTCTACATGAACGATATTTGAAATCATTCTTTTTAATGTATTATCTTTGTTTTATGTATGAATCAAGTTATTGATCTTTTTTTAGCCTACGTAATTGTGTACTCCATGTTTTTCCCAGTACGAGAATGACGTTAACATTCAAGATTTGACCAAGAGTTTTTATTTTTGTAAACACTGAGTTTGATCTTCCTGTAAGGTTCCTGATTCTCTGACTTGTGACAAGTCTGCATACATCCTTAGCATGGAGTTTGTGATAGTAAAATGTAACAGAAAGGAACTGCTAAAGGAGAGAAAAAGGGGGGGCTCGTTACTCACCGGGTAAGGAAAGGAGTATAAGACGTGCCATATTCTAAACATCCTGAGGAAATCATACAAAAAGCCTCTGGATAGATAAGAACATTCAGATACAAAGAGGGGAGAGATCGAAATATTACAGACACATTTAAAAGAGTAGAATAATATGGGGCTGTAAACTGACTTCTAAATTAAAAAGAAAGGACTATTTTAAATTTTTCATAGCACACTCATTTAAAACCCTTAAACCCAGAAGCCTTAGAACTAAGTCACGCGTCTGTGACAGTGGCTCTCATTGCTCCCTAGGGTCCCTGGAAGGCCCTTTCCATGTGCTCGGCCTCCTGGCCTCCTCCGTGATTGGCCTGGGAATGAGCATTGAATCCAAGAACTGAACTGGATTACATGGGAGCTGTGAGTCAGCCCGGAGCACCGGGCCATGAGTATTCACACACTTAGCCACCTGAACCAGAGATACAGGGATAAGCCAGTGGCAGGCATTGCAAAGGCTAAGTGATTCCTTGGAAAAGGTAGAGAGGGCAGAGGTGCAGAACCTATAGGACGAGCAGAAATTAGCTGGTAGAAAGCGGCAAAGATAAAGGAGCTAGAGGCCCCCTGGGCTGCGAGTGACCGCTTCTCGGAGAGGCCTGGCCACGTGGGTCACCAGGATGGACACCTGCATGGCGGAATCCTCATCTGCTCCTGTGCATCCATGGTAACTCGCCGCCACTTAGGGAGAATCCAGGAGGCTTTCGAATCCAGCGGAGAGCAAACGACCCCAAGCAGTGTGGATGATGCAAGCATTTTGGCCTTGCAAAATTGTAGAGGACAATTTAGGCACTCACTTTGGTCAATCCAATTCCCAGGGTTTTTTCATTGGTGGAAAATGCAAGCCAGACTTAAGAGTCAAATCCCAACTCCACTGCTTGCTGGCCACTGCTTGTGGTCCTGGGCATATCCCGGAGCATCTCTTACCTGTTTCTGTATCCATAAAGTGTGAATACGACAGTCCCTAGCTCAGCGGCACTTAAGAGGTCTGAATGGATGACTGCAAGAATAATCCTGGGCATTTAGTTAGTAATCAATAAATGTTACCTTCTTCCGGGTGTGGTGGCACCTGGCTGTATTCCCAGCACTTGAGAAGCTGAGGCAGGAGGATTTCTTCGAGTTCGAAGCCAGCCTGGACTACACAGTGAGTTCAAGGCCAGCCTGAACTGCACAACGAGACCCTGTCTCAAAAAAAAAAAAAAAGTTAGCTGCTGAGTAAACACATTCCTGCTTTTATTATTTTATTAGATATAAGCAAATTATAATTGTGTGTATTTATGGGATACAAAGGGATGTATGTATGTATAAATTACTGAATTGATCTAATTGACTCCTCTGGTACTTTTCCAGGACACCGTTCTCCTGTCTCACTGAAACCCTGAACCCTCTGGCCAACATCTTCCTCCTTCCTTCCGTTCCCATCCCCAGGTAACCACCATTCTGCCCCCTGCTTCTGTGTGTGCCATCTTTTTAGCATCCGTGTATGAAAACACACTTGGTATTTATTTCTCTGCGCCTGGCTTTTTCACCTAGCATAACGTCCTCCAAGTTGATCCATGTTGTTCTATATAACACAACTTCGGGCCGGGGATTTAGCTCAGTGGTTTTGCTGCCTGCTGCGCAAGTGCAGGGACCCGAGTTCGATCCCTGGTACCAAAAAAAAAAAAAATGTGCTCGCTTTGGCAGCACATATACTAAGATATATAACACAACTTCCTTCCTTTCTAAGGCTGAATAGTATTCTATTGTGTGGATATGCCACAGTTTCTTTATCCACTCCTTGGTAAATGGCACTTAAGTTGATTCCATAACTGGGCAATTGTGAAACATGAGAATGTAGACATCTCTTCGGTATACTGATTCTAAATCCTTTGGTTACACACCTAGAAGTGGGATTACTGGATCATATGGTAGTTCTATTTTTTATTTTCAGGGTTTTTTTCTTTGAGACAAAGTCTTACCATGTACCTCTGGCTTGCTTTGAACTCTCATCCTCCTGCTTCAGCCTCCCAAATGCTGGGATTATGAGTAAACCATGCTGGGTTTATTTTGTTGTTGTTGTTGTTATTGTTTTGTTTGTTTGTTTTGAGGGAGGGTCTTCATATGTAGCCCAGGCTGGCCTCAGACTCAAACTTGCAGTGATTCTCCTGCCTCAGCCTCCCTGTGCTAGGATTACAGGCGTGTGTCACCACGCCCAGCCTCTCCCTCTGTCTCTTTATCCTCTTTCGCTTTGAGAAAGATCTTTCTCCCTACCTCCTCTTTCCTATCTTTTATTTGGCTCTTTATTTATATTTTGGGTTTCTCCTGTAAGAGAAACCATGTGATACTTAACCTTTGGGTGTCTGATTTACTCCATTTAGCATTATGGTCTCAAGGTGCATCCATTTTCCTACAAATGACTCAATTTTATCTTTATGGCAGAGTAGTACTCCATTGTGTGTAAATACCACATTTTCATTATCCATTCATCCGTGGATGGACATATGGGCCGTTTCCATGACTTACTTGTTATGAACTATGCCTTTTGGCTTTTTGCATGTCTTCAGAAAAATGCTAGTCCATGTCCTTTGCCATTTGCCTGTTTTTTCCTTCTGGTATTCCTAGCATCTAGCACTACCTGCACATAGTAAGTGTGCAGTAACTGTTCATTAAATAACTCAAAAATATTAATTTTTGCATTGGCACTTTACCTGGCCCTTTCCTAGCTGGTTATTGGGCCACAGGTATCAATGTTATAGAATGTTCATGAGCAACATCCTCCTAGAAGTTCCTAAAACCATGTAAACAGAGGGTGCTAAAAGAATTCATAGGCCTTATTTCAAAGGAGCCTGCTGTTCAGAATATATTATCTTTATTTAGCATTTATATTACACTGTACATTTTCAAAGCCCTTTTCAGTTTTTTAACTAAATATTTGTTATAACATTCCCACATTATCTTTCATGATGGTGGTAACACAGGTATACTGCCCATCGCTAATGCCTGTGTCTGGATTGAATTTGTCACATAAACACAGTCAATGTAACTGGATGTAAAAAATCTGGAACATTGCTTTGTTCACGTAGAATGTGGAACGGAATGTCAATGTAAGAGGAGAAGACAATCTGTTGCTTTAAATTATACTCGCTCTGCCTTGCACTTGGTTCTGTTTCCCAAACTAGAATCAATAGGAAGGTTTGCAAACCAAGGTTTCTCAGTGAGCTTGACTTCTTTAAAGAGTAAAATTTTGCAATTCAATATCGAAGCATTTTGCTGTATCTGAGTAATTTCTCAATGTTTTCCTCTTCAAGGCAGTCTCTTTCCTCGTGTCTGTGTGGAGGGTTTTGATACCTACAGCCTTGGAATTTGTTGACAGTGAAAAATGAAAGTGGTATAGGGCAGGGGATTTAGCTTCTGGCACCTGCCTCAAAAGCGCAAGGACCCGAGTTCGATGCCCAGTACCAAACAAAAGGAAAGTGGTACAAATCAACATACCATTGACGAAATCAGCCCAGGTGGATCTCACTTAAGAGGCTATGAATTGACTAAGGAAGTACCCA